TTTGCCAGAACTAGAGATGTGTCACTTTTTCTGTCATATCTACTCCAAGGAATCTAAGTTTGAAACTGAAGTCATGAGGACCCCTTTGAAACTGAAGTGAGGGCTCATTATCGCATATAATCTATGCAGGACCTTTTTTCCAGTTGAAACCAAGTGATTTTTGTGTAATTGATTGAATATCCATACTGAGTCTCATTGCAACAATTCATGATCTGTAAGACTTTCTTGTGAAGTGATTCTTCAAAGATTCAAAGATAGTAAAAGTGACTGGTATCTCTAGAGAGTGTTGAGATGCTCACAGCTAGTGTATGCTTCAACCAAAGAACTAGATCCATACATCCTGTATGTAGTTCTATGTAAAGGTGATCTGGAATTCTCTTACTCACTGAAATGAACCCACATATTCAGTTTCACAAAAATTCATGTTTATCAAATTCAGTCCATCCTGTTTTCTGTTAAACACAATTAGGTAAAATCACTTTTGGTAATACTAATTTGCCAATCACCCAGGGGTGCTGCAAGACAATTCACAAGAGAAAAAAATTCTCACCAGCTAGGGCATCAAGGCCTTCATGCCATAACTGGGCTGCTGTGGATTCCAAAAAGTAGTAGTTTAGTAATTCTCATTGAGTTCATTGAAAAATTTAGTGTGAGTGGGATTGGAGTATTGCTACATTTTTATATCAAGTTGCTTTTAGTGCCAAAACCTGGTAAAGGTGTAATTTGTAAAGAAGTATAGAATCCATTTTTTTTTCTTCCACAGCCATTGGGTCAGTGTAATACTAATACCAATAAATTCTAATGTAGAAGTGTTTAGCTTCAGTTTTCTTGTTTTGTGCTACACTCCACTATCAATAATAACAGTGCACAATTTTTGTCAATACCACTGCCATTCTGTCAAAGTTTTTTAAAAAAAATCAGAACATTTACAAAGGCATGAACTTGGTGGCAAGTATTTCAATTGGGTTGAGAAGGTTCAAGTGAAGAAACGAAGGAAATAAGAGAACAAATTGCTTTTTGTTAGTGGCTAATGATAACGATACAACACATGATATTAAGCTTTTAAAATAAGCATTTATACCCAAGATCAGATAGATCATACCTAATAATTACGTTTTAAGGTCCCCTATAAAGGAAGAGATTTTGTTAAGTTTTATTTTGAGATGTAAGAGAGTAATGTTCAAAGGCCTTGGAGATTTGTTCCACAACTATCCTCTATCTGCCAAGATCTACCAAGATAAGCGAAGAATTTCACTAAACAGCAGAAAGGCCGGTCCTAGCCGGTCCCTTGAAAGGCAGACAATCCAGCTATTTCACTTGGCTTGTCAGAGAGGCCGCCATCATCATCGAGTGCCATCGGTCAGCTTTGCAAACTCATTTTCGGCTGACCTGAGGCAGATCGGTCGTCCTTGGCACTCAGTTTGTTGCGCTTTCAAGTTTCGGAGTTAGTGTTTTAGGGCCAGGCCGGCTGGCCGACCCGATGCGTATCTCAAGTCGCACCCGTCGTGTTGTTTCGCTTCTACGGATAATCGGAATTTTTCGGACGTGTGGGATGGATAAGATTCCAGGAAAGCTGCAAAAGGAGAAAAAAATCTGGTGGTGAATTCCTTCAGGTGGCCGTGGAAGAGGACGAGACACTGTATCTCCTCAGCCCTCCCCTATCCTGCTGACACTTCTGGACCCTAAGAGTTGATGTGGCCAAACCTAGTCGAACAGGAGATGAGGCTTGGCTTCGCCCCTTGTACCGCAGTACTACTAGTCTTCCGATGCAACCGGTGCATCCATAAACCTTACCCACCCCCGGCCAGTCGCAATAAGGATACATAATCAGGCGATGGGAGCAGGACGCGAGGGCTATTGGCTCACTCCGCCGACTTCGATCCCGCAATTAGGCCTGTACTGAGGAAAAGAACTAGTCGCAATTGGTAGACAAACAGATCATTCTCCAGAATTTGTAAAGCCGTAGTCGCTGAATTGAATCACGACTAGAGATCACCTATCAAAATGGGGCATGCTGCTGAAACCAAGTCACCGAACCTGAACGAAATCAAGGCAGATGATACTTTAGAAACAGCCATTAGCAACCATGACTCTCCTGTAGATAAGGGGAAGTGCGCTTTCCTATATTTGTTGGCTATGTTCACTATTGAAACAATTGTATGGGTAAGCGACACGTCGTACTCATTTGTCTCAATTAGAGAAAAGTGCCGAGCAGGGTTGGATGACAAGTTATTATGGATATGTATTTTCAGGGATTTGCTACCTCGTTTGGCGTGTTATTTAACTTTTATCAACATGATCCACGCAGCCCAATAAAGCCGGATCCGAATTCTAAACTCATACTCACTCTTGTTGGAACAATCAACACCGGTACGATTGCTAGTGCAGGTAAGCTGTCTCGGGCTCTTGTCCGAGAGACTTGGAATTTACACTCATCAGTAATTCATGTTCAACCCCATCTTCCTTCAGCGCCATTCTTTTCTTTTTGGATGGCCAAGAAACCAGGCATAAGGCGGCGATTGATGCTGGCGGGTCTGCTAACATGCACACTGAGCTTATTCTTGTCTGCTTATTCAACTTCTGTGAGATAAACTGTTTTTTCAAGTATTTAGTCAACCCTATCCGAATCTTGTTTTTCCAACAGGCCCTTCATATTCTCTTGAGTCAAGGGATAGGATACGGCATTGGCGGGTGCGCGTTATATTATCCAGCCGTGAGCTTCCATTAGAATTCTAAAATCCATGCCCGACGCATCAACTTTAAAAAGTATCGATCCATCATTCAGCTTTCTCATCTTCCGGAATGGTTCGAATTAAGGCAAGGGTTTGCAAACGGATTGGTTTTCACGGGTATGTCCTTGCATGGATTTTGCCATTTAGAAATCTTGGGACTAGCTGCTCACCCTCCGATATTGTCACAGGGACGGGTATCGGAGGTTTGGTATTCCCTCTGGTCCTAAACAGCCTTCTTGGGAGGCATGGCGCAAAATTAGCCTTGCAGATTACCGTGAGCGATTACTCGTACTTTGAGCGATGAATTTGCAGAAGTCTTACTCATCCCAATCATTGTTCCCAGGCGGCATTGTTTGCAGTTCCCATTTTCTTCGCAATCTTCCTCATCCACCCGAGACTTCCGAATCGTTGCCAGAGGCAAGAAAGCGTGGCCCAATCTATTTCCAGTTACGAAAAGCAGGCCCTCCCTAGTTCAGGAAACTTGTTCCGCAAGTTTTATGAGTGTTTGACTGGAATATTTTGGACTTACATTTTCATGAACACAATTCAATCAACCGCGTTTTACTTACCAGGCTTGTATCTTCCAAGTAAGTCTGCTGAGCAACTACTAATTCTGAAAGCAAAATCCAACTTGAACGCACTTTATGGGTGGTAATATTGATGAAACAAACTGCGCGTTGTAGCCTATATCCATTGTCTCGGGCGTGGAAGCGTGATGGGAAGTGCTCTTCTGTCTATTCTCAATGGTAAGATATGATACCTCAGTCTGAGACTGAAGTGTGTTTCCAAAGAGTTGAACTTGATCACCATGAATCTCAGCTGGAACAATATTTGCGCAACTCGCAGCTGGTGTCCTATCAGACCACTATTCACCCTTTCTGATTGGCCTGACAGCTAATGTTCTAGGGGGTGCAAGTGTACTCACCTTGTGGGGTGCTCTGAGTCAAAATGGCGTGGGATGGCTATTCGTCTTCTCGGCTGTATATGGTTCTACGGCTGGTGCATGGACAAGCTTATATTTCGGGGTTTTGAAACATTTTGTCTGTTGGTAGCACTTCCTACTACTTTGAAATGATGACCATAGGGCTCACACACTGAAGTGTCCTTCCAATTTTCATCCCTTAATTTATCATCATGGATGATACTTCTGACAGCGGACCGAGAGCTGATGTTTTGTGCCTACGGAATTCTCGCCATGACTCGAGGAATAGGCTTCATCCTGGGAGGGACAATTTCTTCAGAACTTGTTTCTTCAACTCTGACAGATCCAACCCAATGCAACGGCTTTCCCAAAGGTCCATTCTCTGGCTTGATATGGTTCACAGGCCTGATTTTCCTGAGTAGTGGATTACTTGGCAGCTTTTTATGGATTCACTTTAGGCCACCATCAAAAACGGTTCAAGAGCCTTGCCAAATCAAGAATAGAGGAAAGGGAGACAGTCTCTCAAAGTGTTAAGGGAATCAAATCTTCTATTTTTTTTTTATAATGACTTCATCTTCCTTCCTTGTTCCACACTCTTATGCTTAAGCAAATCAGATATACTATTACAATCCTAAAATCAAACAGGATGAACTTGAATATGTACAACAGAATTATCATGTATCAGTATTCGAAAGGCCTCATAATCTACTATTACTAACCGAAGAACTGAGCAACGCGATTTGAAGGAAATCCAACAGAATTCTTTGGCATCGAAAACTAGATTCCAGGGCCACCGCGTCAACAAACGCCTGTTCAGCGTGTAAAAATGTTCCAGAGGTGGTACCACTCTTGATAAAATTCGAGTGGTAATATAGCAGAACAGGATGATTCTCCAAAAGCTCGAGATGAGCCATCCTGGTCAGTGAGGACTCATCAAACCACTGCAGTTAGCGCTCGCTGCCGGTTGAACCCAATGTCCCTCTTAATTTGGCCACTATCGAATTATGCGAATTCCTCCTCTTGTGGTTAGTGGCCCAGTTGATAGCCACGAGTCATGACTTTGGTAACCAGGGCCAGCTGGCCTTAAAGCTATCGTCGAGTCAAAGCTGTAAACAGGAGGCATTGAACAGTGCTTGATAGCAGTCTCCAATCGGCAGTATGAAAACTCATGAACCAAGAACCCATGGACTTGTCCCTTGAAGCCTCTGGTACCTTATCGTGGGGGCCTTGGTATTAGGGGCGGCATTCCGGATTAGCCTCGACCATTACCACTATAAAACACCCACACTCTTCCCTTCCAGACGAGAAGCCATCTCTCAATCAGGAAGCATAATCAGTTCGATCCAACCCAAGAGTTCTCTATCACATTAATCTGTAACAGTCTTCATCACCAAATTCATCCGTCCCACACTTTCGTTCAACTCAATACCCTTCAACAGTAACATCACCTTTCGTACCCCAAACTCTAATAATTCGTTATACCAATTTAATTTTTCTTGCAATCGACCGAAAACAAAAACAAGAACAAAACAGAGAAAATGATTCACATTACCCTCTCGAACCTAATCACCTTGGCCATGGTCTCCGTCGGCGTTGTTTTGGGGGCACCCAGCAAATATCCGACATCGCGTCACGTTCCAATGGAGGTCGCTCACCAGTACAGCTCACCGATGAGCTACTCCGCCGCGAAGCGATCCGCGATGAATAAGCAAGTAAACCGACTTAGCCGAAAAAGCTTGTCAAACCCCAGGATAATCTTCATGCCGGTCAAAAGCGCAAACTCGGACCTCGCCGAATCGTTGTCAAACGCGGCAAGTGTCTTACGCTCGGATACGGCCGCAGTCTGTACGCCATTTTATGTTATCACAAACACCATGGCGGGACTTTTATTTAACCTTTGTTCCTTCTGTTTTGCCCGTTTCAGATTCTTCGATCACCTCTTTGAAGCAAAACGGTCAGCTTGGAACACCCGAGCAGCTCGGAGATGATACGGTCTTCCAACTTACCGAATGGCAGAAACATGCCGACATGTTGCGGTTCCTTGGAGATGTCAAAGAGCGTACTGATATCGTTGACCAGATGGACGATTTTAGCAATGAAATCGGATTGGCCTTGAAAGTCGGTCATGTTTCTTTTTACCATTTGGCGCCAGAATCCTAACATTTTCATTTTTTCAATGATGTAGAGTGCGGCCCAAGACCTCAAGCAGACGTTGCTAGGAGTGAATTCGATCATCACCGAAATGCCATCGATTCGATACCTGCTCGGCCCGATGGTTTACAATATCAGAATGATAATGTAAGAGTTCTTCTATCCTCTTCAAAACATTTTACAGCATCTTCTGGAGATTGATGGCTGTTGGCTTTTGTTCTATGCAGTACGGATATCCACCATCGCTCTGAGGCTTATTTAAGCCATGGTGATGATAAGATCTCTTTGAGCTCGAAATTTGAGGAAGACTTCTCAAAGTGCTATACCCTTGAAAGCATCAAACAATTTTGTTAAACTTAGTTGAAATTAATAATATAAACCTTCGTAATCTATCACAACCCAATCTCACGGGCCTTCTGAGCTGCTGTAGAACTACACTCTACCTCGTTAGTATGCACGTATGACGTAGTGTGTCCAATTGAGAACGTATTCAAGAATTGAAGACTGCTCGGATATACGAGTACCACTCCAAGCTGATGTGTGTCCTAACTTTAATGACAAATGAGGCGATATAAGCGCATTAACCTGGCGCAGTGGTTGTTTTACCAGGGTTATGTTGCTGCAAGTTAGCTTGGCAGAATATAGCATGTATGTAACAAGCCTTTCACCGGCGCGAGACATCTGCCCCCCTCGCGCCGCGCCCTTTTGTCTCTTTGCTGGTCCGCTGCTCGACCAAATGGGCACAAGCAGTCTGCCGCCCCAGCCGACTGCCACTGCCACCAGCCAAGAACAACTAGAATTCCAACGGACAACAAGAACACTAGAGAACCCACCACCCTGCCGCAAACAAACAAACAAACAATCAACACCCTTCCTCGGAAAGAAAGGAAAAACCATACACACATTCTCCCAGCCAGTTTCTGACAGGATCCCCGACATCTCGGTTATTCCAAAGTAAAACACCTTTTCAACACAGGGAAACAATTTACACCGTATGAAATTTCTTCTCAATTGAATCCCAGAGAAACTCACCGTGTAGCTTACGGATAACCTGCGATTTGACTGAAAACTCGATCTCCAGGCTGCTGAATCCATTGAACGCTCTCCCCTAATCGCGTACTTCAAGTTCAACCCAAGGAATCCTATATATTGAATCGATATAACCCGCAAACTCTTATTTATTTTTTCCTCATCGGCCAAAGACAGGCGTGATGAGTGGCTCAAACTCATACAGACCAAGACATTCACATCCGATCAACGGTTTGTCTCTGATCCCACAACATGTCCTTAATTCGAACCGGAACACCCCATCTCCGCGTCTCAGTCGTCCAGCAATCGATCCATTCAAGGCGTTTACTGCTAACGATCTCGACGGTTTTGTCGATAGTATTACTAGCAAGATTCGCAACGCTCTCTTGGGCAACTCCTCAACCGATCCCCCACAGCCTCAAACCAAGACTCATTCCTCACGTTCTAGCGACGTATTTGGCAAGTTAGAATCCATCCAAGCTTCTAATCAATCCAACCTCGCTCCTCGACCGGGCCCCTCTGGCTCTAAAAACCAATCTGCGGGAGATGGTCTCGATGATACCGTTTCTGATGAAGAGAGTAGTGACAGCCATGTTGAAAATAGCATTCAACCAAAACTCAAAACAGATACCCACATTGTTATTGACTCAGACGATGACAACCTAGCATCTTCTCCTCGTGGCTCTCAAATTGTCCAGAATCAGACCAGCCAGATTTCCCAAAGCGACTATTCTGACGGCGATCCAGATTCGGATGATAAAGACATCCACTCAGAATCAGATGATCAAAGCTCAGATTCCCCAAACGATCGCCATCCCGCTTCTCAAGATCTTAGTGCTTCCAGTACCTCATTCCTCAACGATAATCATTCACACGATTCAGAAGATATGGTTTCAATCGATGGCTCTATACATGGAAGCATCTCTAATTCAATCTCTGCTTCATCGGATTCTCTAGAAATTTCAACTGGACCCAAGCCTCCTGGAGAGCAAGTCCGTGAAGAAATAGAGGAGGAAGCTCACGCTGTTTCAGATTCTTCGAGCATTGTCTTTCAATCACGTCCTTCAACATCAAAGCCATCAGTTTCCAAGCAACCCTTCTCTCCAGGTGCTGGATCATCTCATGAAAGGGAAAATAATATATATCATGAAGATGACGATTTTGATGGTATGGAGGAGTCTGGAGAAGAATATGAACAGGATGAAGATGACGAGGAAGATGCTGATGATAATGATGATGAAGATCTTGAAGTTGATGGCGAAGATGAAGGTTTTGACATTGACAGTGCTGTTGCTGATATTGATGTGAATGTTGATGGAGAGGCGGTGGGTCCTACAAGGTTGGCGAAGAGAGAACTGGAAGACGGGGAGATCGAAGAGGGAGAATTGGAAACCGAGGAGAATCGAGACCATAATCCAAGGGATAATCCCGAAATGCTGCCCGCCGGGGATATTTTGGTTGATGCCCCTTTCACTTTGGTTCAAGAAGACCTTGATCAAAATATTCATCCTGATTTGTGAGTTGTAATGCATTTGGTTCAAGTCACTTATTTTTAACTGACTCTAATTTTCGCCATTGCGCCCCTTTCTTTTCTTTCAACCCCCCTGAATGTCTGAATAAATCCGGAACCCAAAGCAGACCAGTCAGTCAGAATCATTGTGTTTTGTTTTTTTAGTTTTTTTTAGTTTATTGAAATCCCTTTTATTATTCTTTTTTTATATAATTATGGGGGACAGGAATCGACCGATGTGGATAAACAAAAAGATGATCATTCCTCCAAGATTCTTGATCAACCTAGCGGCACCAAGCCTCTTCTCTTGCCTGCGCTCGAGAATAAAAAACTATCACGCGTGGGAAGTTTCTCTGCCGATGGTGCAATGATGTTTCGGCCGTCCAGTGAAAGTTCGGTGGATCTTGACTCTGATCAAGGAGACGAAGACGCGCAAGATGTCGACAAGACACAAGCTCCCGGTGATGTTGATGGTTCGCCGATAATCGATCATGATCCTCTTGTCTCTGATCAATCTCAAAATTCACCTTCGATGGTACTTGACCAATCCCAGCCTCAATCATTCTATCGCCCTGAATTCCATCTTTCTGGGTCGGAATTAGTCCAAGATGAGCATTTTCTGCCAATCAACTCATCGTCCGAGCCACAACAAGGCTCCGATCGAGCTACCGCGGAAAATCCATTGTTGCCTGTTGAAACCATTGAACACCAAGATGCCAACCCTAATCTGGACGGGTCCCCACAAGCTGTCTCGCCTACATTTGGCCCTCGCGAAGTTCAAACCGCATCGAACATAACCGACAATCCCCCGCAAGAAGAGCAAATCGAAGATGATAATGACTTGTTCGAGGGCGATGAAGATTTGAGATTGCATAAGCTCGGAGTCGATCAATCGCGATTGCATAGTCTAAACGAAGATGAGGATGGAACCCTGCCGACTGTTGCTCCTTCTGGGGAAGTTGAAGATCGGTTCTCAACAATCGAAAGGCAGTTTGAAAACTTCATCGCACGTACCGTCGAACCACAACTTTCCGCGATGGAAGAGCAGACTCAGGGAACTGTTTGCGAACTTCCTGTAGTAAGTAACAGATAGGGTTATCTCTTGATTTTGTGGGCTGTTGATTGACTTGTTGGTTCTTTCTTAGTCGTCGACTGCTTGTGATAGCAATGCGATCACCATCAGTCAATCCGCTGCTGTTCAAATTGTGGTGCAGCAACCTTTAGAAACTGACAGCCACGTTGTGGATAATGCTGTCGACTTAACCGGTGCCCAAGACACTCACACTACCAGTGCTGAAATTACCCGGCAAGCAATCGTTGTTGCGCAAACCGAAGATACCTTCATTAGCACTGTGGAAGATGCTCAATCTCGCGCCTCGCCAGGTGGTCAAGATGATCCAGCTCGGCCTTCACTTGACCTCCTGTGGGGAGAACTTTCACCCACAAATGGCGTCACCCAGGCGACGGAAGAAAGCGGAATGAACGAAGTAAATTTTTTCCCTCTGAAGCAGTCTGATTCGGAAATTTTCAATTCGAGTTCTTGGTCTCCCGCCCTCTCTACCAACGTTTCATCTAACGCAGATCACACGAGCGCTCAGCTATACGGTTCTACTGACATGAAGTATTCAATAATTCCACTCACACTTTCTCAGCGTTCCAACTTTCGGCAAAGTATCAATCTCGATGAAGATGTGGAAGCATCATGTGAAGCAACCAACGATGGATCTACTGATATGAACCTTGTAAGTCAACTCACGCCATCCAATATTTTGCTTGGTCCACTGATTGATTTGTCATGGTAAATTTGGTTGAAATACATCCGATGTAGCCATCAAACAATGGCCCCCAGGCGCAATTGTCGCCATCTCATGATCAAGACGATTATGATATGTTGGCGTCTAGTCTCATAGACGGTAACTCAGATGTTGTCCCAGCAGATCCCGATCAGAATACTGACAAAGCTGTCGGCAAACAAGATATAGAAGTGCCGTCTGAAGAAAATTTGAAACTTGCCCTCGCTGACAAGGCCCATGAGAATAATCCGCAAGATGAAAAACCTCAAAGTGGTAACCAATCTGTTCCACAAGAACTGGGTGCTGATACCAACCCATTCGATGAATCTTCTCAGGTACTTTCGCTCTTTAATTGTTTACCTTGAGCAGTATGCCTGACTGAATTGTACTTTGTAGCTTGCACTTCTGCCTTGCAAAGGCTCCATCCGCCCCCCGTCGCCCCCCAAAGCTTCGGACAGCACCATGGATGAAGCTGATCTACTGCTGTCCCAATTCATAAACTGCAGCCCTGACACGGTGGACGGCCAAAATCTAAATGATCGACCGGCACCTGTATGTCAAGCTCTCAATCAACACAATTTGTGGAATAATGCCTTCCTAAGAATTTTCCTTTCTTCTTGACAGGCTTCGCCAACACCCAGTGCGGCTGTAGTGCCGGCAGTCACGTTTGCTACTTCCCCGCCGGCGGAAATGAACCGTTTTGAAGGATTTGATTATCAAAATGGCGCCGAAGACGCCCAATTAAGCGTTATGTTGAATGTCGAACAACCGCTTTCAGCGTTCGAACCTCAGACACCGAGGACGAGCACTACCTTAGGACAAGGAACTTCGTCTGAATCCTCGGAAAGACATTTATCAAGGGGCTCAGCCTATTCTGCGCCTTCATCAGTGATCTCAAGTGATACAGCTTCAGTGCCAGCGTCGGTTGCGCCACCACCGCCTTTGCATAACGCGTCAATGGGTGCACCTACTGAAGCTGTTGGCTTGTCCAATCAAATGACGCGACGCGCATCAATTGACTCCAGCACCCATGCCGAACCGCCATCACCTTCAACCTCCACTCGACATCGCAGCGCCCCAATAACTCAAGAACAAGTTAATGCACCAGGGCTGCCGCATATGGAGGCAGCAGAAGTCGCATCTTCTTCCTCGAGTGATCTACCGGACCCCCTTCGATCCCCGCCTCCCCTCAATCAACAATTGATCCCCATTCGCCCGGCTGAAATCAACACCCCGGTCTCACGAGCATCAAGTATGGTAGCTCATCCCCCATCGCCCTCCTGCTCTAATCTCTTAGAAGGATCTCACATGTCTATCGGTACATCGCACCGAGATGCGTCCCCACAATTTGATGCGAGGCTTTTATTACCTGATCCGATAGCAACCCCTCTGCCTGTGTCGATCCCAGCGATCAAACTTGAAGATATCCCCAACGATTGCTTATCACTCGAGCGGCACCATTCCATTAATTCCAGCGCTGCTAGCCAACCGGCAACTTCCCCACGTTTTGAGAAATTCTCATCATCAATGATTTCTCCAGCGATTCGGGGTCCAGATGCCTTGATAGAGAAGAATGTACAGGCCGTCGGTGACGTCAATAGCTCTGATACCAAAGCAGGTTCGGATTCTGATACCAAAGCGGTTTCGCCTGCTAATATTGCCATCCAACTCGATCGGCCCGATGGTTCCATCTCGCCCCGTGACAGCAAGGTGCTCGAAGCGGATAAGCGAAGTGAGGATTCCCAAGGACCTCCCATCCCAGTCATGAATCCACAGGCCCCTCAAAGTCAATTCGCAGAGCATGCGAAAGACGGCGAGGTCACCAACCAGGAAGAAGTTTCCAAGGTAGATTAAATTTCTGCCAAGCATTTGGAAAATGTGACTAAATCATGTTTTTTTTATTCAGGTGTCGAATCCATCGCCTCATACACCATCCAAAATGCCCATTGCGACGCCTGAGCCGGCTTCTCCCTTGGTTGGTGACCATGTGGGCTCTGTAGAGGTCAAACAAGATTTAACCATGGGGGAAACATCAGCTGTTTCGCCAGATGTTCACCAAGATCGAGCCATCAATGGGGTGGCGAACCCTACCGCAGATGCCAAGCCAGATTTCAAGGTAGACTCTGTTGAAGATGCCAAGCGAGACACAGTCGATAAGAAAAAGGTAGACCCGAAGGCAGATGCTAAGCCAGATCCACTTACCACCGAGGCCCAATCTCAACTTGGCCCAACCACCCGCAACAAACGCAAAAGACAAAGTGCACCGGAGGATCCAAGTGGGACCGCCCCTTTGCAAGAGATCAACGCGGAAGAGCAGGCGGAACAAGATCGCGAATCGCAGTTGCGAGAAATTCTTAAGAAGCGAAGAGCCTCCAAACAGCTGACTCCCCAAACAGTCCCTCAGCCAAAGAGTCCGAAAAAAAAGACCAGCCCGACAACACAGTCCATCGAAACCAAGAAAAAGAAAAAAGTGGTCAAGAGAGAAGCCAAGCCCTCAAAAGGCGACGGTCATTCAGAGGGCGAAATTGAGCCCAACCTTGCATCTGACGCTGCTGAAGTTGAGTCTAAAGGACTTCCGACTCGAAGCAGCCTGCCGCGTGCTGCAAAGAGATCGTCGATGGCGCCGAACAGCCTGGCTCCACCGGCTCTACTACGAAGTCCTTCGAATGCCACAGCGCGATCTGTGTCGCCTGGGCTGCCTCCGTCCAGTCCACTGAACATTAACGTCGGTGAAGAATCTTCCAATTCTCTCCTAGTTTCTGAGCACGATGATCTGTCTCTTACCGTCGGTAATAGAAGGTCTTCGAGCAACTCTCGATCGACCGCCAGTCCTATTCCGCCCGCCAGCACAGTCTCGGTCATGGTACCACCCCTACAGCCTGAGGATATGCTTCCTAAACTACGCCTTCATCAGCATAACTCGAAAAACAAGTTATTCGGTCTGCAAGCCAATCACCCAACTCTGGAAAGCTCACAGCAGAATAGTGGAGATGGGACAGAATCCAAACCGGTTGTTGGAGCACGTACCGGTAAACGCAAGCAGTCTGAGGGTAATGAGGCTCGTCAATTACCACCTTCTTTACCACCGGTTACTCGATCGCATTGTCATTTCATCAGATTAAAGTTCCCCACGACTGCCGAACGAAGATTTGATACCTTCCTGGTCCCTCAATGTGCAACGGGCGATGAGGTGATCAAGAAGAAGATGAAACAGTTTGAGATGGTTGAGGATGATAATCTGACGGGAGAAGAACAGAGTAGAGGGGTCCGGATTGGACCTGATGGGCGCAAACATTCCGAGGCAAGACTCGAGCATCCGATGCTATTAAGTCTCAAGCCAGAGTGTTCGACGTTTGCGGTTGATGACGAGACGTTGAACATCCTCATCGATGTCTTTGGGCTATGGTTGATCCAAGACGGCCAGGTTGAAGTCTTGTTACCCAAGGCATTTTTCAGCAGGTTCGATGATGAAGAGGAGCTAGACGAGCGGGAACGAGAGCTGAGCTTTTCGTCCTTCAGTTCCTGGAACGAGCCCCATCTTTCTCAACGAGGTACCAGTCAAGCTAGTACATCTAGGAGCAGCCATAATCGACTCAAACGCAGGGCTCAGTCTCCCTCCTCTTCTTTGCCCTCTAGAGCCTCCTCCCCTCGCTCTTCTTCTTTTCTTTCTCCTAATGAAGCCAAGACTCGTCACAAACGTAGAAGATCAAATCAAGTTGAAGAGAATTGATAGATGGAAAGTCCCCTCCACATCCGTTGAGAACTCCCCCCTCCCCCCCCTTTACTCTAATGATCTATTTCTCAAACTCTTCATACTATACTGTGTAATACTGAAAAGTCTTTTTTTCTGTCTTCTTTTTTTTGTAAGTGTACCTACATATTCTTTTATCATTTCTGAGAATGTTGATTTGCCTTCACCGTTTTAAATGATAGAAGATAAGAATACAATAAAAAAAATGTAATTTCTTTTTTCCCTGATCTTATGGGGCTGGCCCATTAAACATGCGGAGATATCGTATATGAACCAGCTTTTTTTGTATAAAAAGAAAAGGAAGAAATTTGAGGGAAGAATCGCATCCCTCCATTCATCTTTTTGAGAAA